TTGAAAGAATATGTGAAAAAGAGATAGGTAATGAAAAGATAAAGTAACTTAGAAATACACTTTAGATAAAAAAAGATCGACTTCGATTAAATCGAATTTTGATTAGAATATGATGGTGGAGTTTAGTTATCGGACATAATCGACTTGATTGCTTCATACGATTTGTTTTGTCAAAGTTAATTTTTCACATAATAACTAAAGTAAGAGAGTAGTGAATACACGATGTTAATAGTAATATGTTCAGTAATGGTTGAAAATATCAATTCATTTATGAATTAGTTATTTGATGTGTTTTTTTATAATAGAAGCTTATATGTTTATTTTGCTGGTGTACTTCATAACTATTCTGGATCAGCAACGCCATAGAGTTGTATTCTGGGCTAAAACATGAATTTAATCATTGTATTGACTGTTATTCACGTTTAAGCAACAGAATCATAATCCCAAATTTCAGCTTAACCCTGAAACTCCATATTATGGTAAATACAGACTGTAGGTAAACGAAATGTTAGACGATTCAAACATAATAGAATAAATGTATCCAAATTCTAGTTTATTAAATCATTCTATGTATTTTAAATGACTCTGTTACATATCCCATATTATCGTTTTGAATACGCCAATACTAAAAGAAGAAGTTGATGATTTTTAAACAACACCCCCCCGTAATGCGTTGGTGGCACAGCGGTAGAACGCTCGCCGACAATGCACATGGTCCGGGGTTCGATTCCCGGCCGACGTACCCCTTTACCTCGCTTAGCCAGTAGTAAGATTGGTAAACAGGGAAGGTTGGGCATGAGGCTAGGATCCCCATCCTGTAAAAATAATCACCACTGCTACAGAAACTTCAAACCTATAGCTTGAAGCCCTATGTTCCACTGGGAATGTACAAGAATTAAAAAAGAAAAGAAAAAATAACCCCTAAAAGTTCACCTTTACCCAGTTATCTATTCGTAACGGTTTATATATTCTAGTTGTGTTCAATTCATTGATGTGTGTTGATTTATTATTCATCTGATTGGTTTCTAAGTTTTCTATCTATATAAAGTTTTCACTCATAGATAGCAGTCACTTTCAGTATTGTCTCCTATGGTTAGTAAAATGAAGTCATAATCTACTAAGTAAACCGAGTTTTATGCGCATAGTCGAGGTTTAATCAGATTTATATTTACCTGTACACAAGCCGAAGTTGGAAAATGTGTAAATGAAAAATGTGACCACTCATCCACCTGGATAATAAATCTAACCAATGAAATTCTGTAATCAAAACGCACCTAGAAATTCACGCTTAATCATTCTTCTGATTTCTTTTGTATAGCCCATTCGAATTCTATCACTTTTCATTTGTATTTCTAGCTGGGTTTTCTTGTAAGCAGTTGCTGTGTTTTTGTGGATTTCACTTTAAACTTTAAAATGTCAGTTTGTTTTCATTTAGCCGATAAATAAATTTAATTGTCCTCATTCTGTTTTAATTTGTACTCTTTTGGAAAAACCATGACACAGCCATAGAGCAAGATGGTATACACTGCTATAATTTACATGGGAAGTTGGAAATTATTCACGTTTACCGCTAATGGTTGCTAACACCATCAGAATGATCTAAGCACCTCATTGCTGCGTTGTTGTTGCAAAGCCTAGCCTATCAGTGATGCATCCGGTCAAAGCCAAATCATTTCAAACCACCCGAAATCGACTATCTATCGTCTCCCTATACTGCTTGTTTCCTTGACTGCTACTTATGGTATCAGGTAGACCACATGTATTGTGATCTGAATATTTTTACTTTCTAAAGGAAACTATGGCGAGTTTTCGCCTGGAATTATACAATTTGCAAGTGACGATTTTATTTCCACGACAAAATATGTTGAAAATGATAGTGATAATCAAAGTAACAATGAATGCGATAAAATGAACATCTGCTTTGAATGTGTGATAGCTGCTGTTTACTGCAAAAGATTGGACCTTTACCATGTGTAAAACTTTCTTCTTGAAAGTCGAACAGTTTTCCTAGCACTGTCAATGAAAGCAAAATCGCATCTTCATTCTACAATATTTTTATCCTAACATTAGGTACGTTTATCTGATATAATGGTATTAATATCCGGATGACATTTCAAGCATAATTATCACTCAGAATCATGTTACACTGATAAGCTAATATGGAATTGTATTCTAACACAGTGTCCAAATTCTACTGTAACAATGTTTTTGTTCACCCAGATAAACTGAATAAATTGATAGGGATCCGTTGAAACATTTACTCGCTTTTTTAATTGGTGGATGTTGACTAGCAGTGAACTCCAGGATAACGCGCATTTCGCCCTATTTGGGACTCGTCATCTGCATGTACCTGCATCCTCCAATGAGTGATGATGTCCCCACCGAGACTCGAACCCAGTGCCCATAGTTTCAAACACCAAAATGTTATCAACTAGACCACTTGGGCCACGAGAGCCACCTCTTGTCCAATGGGTCATATTAATTATTTAATTCAATTTTACATTTTCCTGTCGATTGATTGGACCGAAGTGCTCGTTCTCAGGTTGACATGTCGGCTTCTTGTGTAGATGCTTCGACGATATCTGGGCATTTAACAAGAGGTGGCTCTCGTGGCCCAAATGGTTTAGTGGATAACGCTTTGGCATTTGAAACTATGGGCACTGGGTTCGAGTCTCGGTGGGGACATCACCACTTACTGGGGAATGCAGGCACATCCAGTCGCTGACGAGTCCCAAATAGGACGATATGCACGTTATCCTTGAGTCCACTGGCAGTAGCCATCCACCAATTAAATTCTGATTAAATGCCCATACATCGTCGAAGCATCTGCATAAGAAGCCGATATGTCAATCTGAGACCCAGCACTTCGGTCCAATCAATCGACAGGAAAATCTAAAATTCAACTAAATAATTTACTCCCTTGTTTAAATATTCTGATATTACTATTAGTTAGGTTATAGTATTATATGCCTAGGTCTTGAGTCATAATGCCATGAAAAGTATTCATGATTTTTAAACAATTAAAAATTGAAAATATCCCCGTCACCATCATTACATCAAACTATTCTATTTGTTAAAGGATTTCATCATGAATTGACATCGGTTAGAGAACCATTGGAAAACCTGGGAGTACTGGACAGCTGTTTCGTTCTAGTTTGGGACTCCTCATTTGTGTTTTGATCCAATGATAAATAATGATCCACTGTTTGAATGGCAACCTGTTCACTGTCAGTAATGAACACGTCAAAGTTACTTTATACCTGAGGGTCAAATGTCTGACCCAGACAGATAGTTTTGCTTTTCTTGATTACTCTTTTAATTATGATATATTAGCCTAGCGTAAGGCGTAACAAATTTAATGATTTTGTTACTAGTCTGTTTTGATTTATGAACGAAGATTAATTCTGTTCATTTGATGACAAAATAAATTTCACCTGTAAGATTTACATCAATTAATCAATAAATCACAAGAACAATAAAATAGTGATGAGTCTTCAAAAACATGAGTTTACACACACACACACACAAAGAGAAAAAGGTCAGTCAAATTAAAAATTCACTCTGAATTCTTTTAAGAATTTGAAGTGACTGAATAGGCGAATGGAAGAGTTTGATTTAGTAAACTTTTATGTTTTTTAATACTAATCAGAAATTAATTTTATTTATCTATCTATTTCTGAGTACTCATCACAGTGTACGAGGTCAACTGAAAACCTTTATTCGTAATATATTCATACATAAATAATTTTGTGAAAAAAAAGAACACCAACAACCCATTAACAATTGCCTGAGACTTAACATTTAATTAAATTTGAGACTAGTAAATAGATATCCAGTTGAGAAAAGACTGTTTTACTAATCGAACAACTGGTAATGATCATTCGTATAATCTATCTGTACATAAACTGAATTTGAAGTACTCGGTGTAGTTGTGCCATAAACTACAGTATTTAGTGATACAAACCTCACTCATCACTGACACTCCAGCCTTCTGATGAATGATTCTGAAATTAATAATCTTTAGTTTTGTATTACTTGTGGATTTAATATGTCAGTCATAATTTTACTGCCTTACACGCATATGAAAGAATGTCCAGAAATGAGAGGTAACAGTAGTGCTTTTGTACTGTATTCTGCTGCACAGTATACAGATACTTTAGCTAAAGTTATAATCTCAATCTCTAAAATATAGGCGTAGAAATGGGATCATTAACATAACATTCACATAGGTATGTTATTTGGTCATATTTCGAATCTGTAGAGGAGATAGCGCTATTTGAATAATTCTGATTCAAAAGTGTTGGATCAGTGATCGTGATTATGTTCAGTATTCAACAGATATAGTTGTCTTATCCATAAATTTGCCATAAAAATAGTCTATTAGTAAATATTCTTTGGCCCGCCTGATTTGTCTATATAAGGGAAAAGCCAATATGAATACTTCAGTGAACAGGATGCCAGCAAAATAAATATTTTGCTTTTCACTAATCTAAGATAATAATTTCGTGTTTATCAAAAGGGCAAAAGACACTCATCGGTATAGAACTATTAAATATTTTCAAAGATGCGCTGAAGAAGTCACCAAGCTTACTGATGAAATTTTTGTATTCCTTACTCTCCGAGTGCAACATAAAGCTTCAAGCTTTGGTCTTTGAAATTCCTGTAGAGGTTGTGCTGTTTTTAAAGGGTGGAGTTGCTAGTCTCACATCCAACCTCCTCTCTTTTCCGGGTTTACTGCTGGCTGCTAAAGTAGGCGAGGTTTGGATGTGCGTGGTCAGAGAGTATGCCATCATCACTGAACCACCAACGCAATGATGAAATGCACATGATGACTAAATGTTAGAACTCAAACAACATTAAACAATTTTTTATCATTAGTTACATTAGTTACAAATCTTATGAGCTTTTTCTAGGGGCCAATTACTACCTGATTAAAAAAGGCCTAGAAAATAGTATTTTGATGCATGAAAATAAAATTTAAATAATATTTTATAATTTACCTTGAAGCCTTCTTCGTCTAGTATGCTGGGTGGATGGAAATCTGTTATTAGGAAGTAAGCTAGACGGTGGTGAAATTCTTCACATGAAGTACAAAAATGAGATGGTGAACAGGCGTTGGTTAAACGCGGAGAAGAACACATGAAACATTCACTCATTTCTGATTTCAAATGGTGAAATTGGTTATTGTCATGTTGGTTGTTGGCAGTTTCACTTTTGATTAGAACAGTTGAAGTTGACATGTTGTGCCAGGGAATAAAGCTGAGCTGCTCTGATTTGGATTCCTAAATTAAAAAATAAATTATAATCGCTCTTTTTCGTTGTCGACTGTAAAATAAAATAATAATATAAGAAACAGCTAAGTTAGTGAAGGGATGGTCCTTAATGATTGACTGAGTTTCACCATGGAACTTTGCACAGAAGTGCACCAGTTCATGTCGCCACACTCTATGTAGCAGATAAAAGTATACAAATGAGAGAGATAAGGCGATTCAAAAGGACAATAATAAGCAGAAATGCGATGAAGTGAAAATAACATGACTGTTTAGTAGATATGAGAGATCCCAAAAAGTGAATGCTTCTGCGGCACTGAAAACAATTTAGAGCCACACCACCAATAGTTTCCCTTCACTGGTTCTTAGCATCCTGAATATCCCAACCAGGCAACCTACACCTCCTTATGTAGCTCAAACCAACTGTCAAATAATTTACGGACTGATGCCAGGTTTTGCTGTGACCACTCCTGACTCTTTTCCAGCCTAATCCTACGTCAGCTAATCTAGGTCGTGAAGGAAGGCGATGGTCAGGCATGCGCAATATGTTTCCTAGTTATCTCAGTCAATGTAGTTCAGTATCTTCATTGTTCGACTTGCTCTCTTTACTTAAATATCTATGCCTAACCTCAGTATTACTCACCACCGTCCTTAGTACTAAAAGGTATACGTCTATCAGGTATTCAATATGGCTATTACATTAACTAGAGTAAAAATGTTATGTTAAAAAAACAAAAACAAAAAACAACAACACCAGCACTATTTGATGTGAATGGTTTCCAACTACTCACATCAATAAGTAGTGTGAATATCGTTCTGTTTTGTTTGTTTTCTTGATTGTTAATCATGGTGTCAAATAGATCATGTATTAGGATCTGAATATTTCTTATCAGCAAAGAAAACTGAGGTGAATTCTTACCTAGAAATGAGCAATTTTCAAATGATGAATTCCAGTGTTCATTCCTTCTTTAAGAACTCTAGAATACGAGTTCCAATGAAATGCAACACAACATAGCATGTGACAAGAACTATGGGAAGTGTGAATAAAGCAAGAACAACAATTTGTGCAGAATAAGATAATGCCATCATTTATTTTTTGTCTTCTCATCATCAACTACTTACAGCCTAAAGATATCATTAAATTTATGATGTTATCATTTTATTCTGTAAAAATTGTTGTTCTTGCTTTATTCAAATTCATAAAGGAGAATCAGTGTATGTAGTTTAATGAGAAATTTGATTACTGATTGTCTATGTACTATTTTAGTACATGTGTAACATAACACATAGAAGCTGAAATCATATAAAATCATCACTTAATTTACTCTCGTAAGTAGATTAACTTGTCTCATCCACCTCAGTTGTACTATGCAACGAGTATTGCTTGATATGAAAGCTGTAAATGCTTGTTATCAAGTCGTGATTCAGAAAGCCGCAATCCTGAAGGAAGTGTTTAATTCACTTGCTCTATCCTGAAAGCGATAACTCGCTAGTTTGGAATATATATATATATATATATATATATGAATTAGGATTTAGAGGTGTCAATTTTCGAAATCGAAATCAACTCACATTGTTGTGTGTTAGTAAGCATTCACAAATATGTATTGCTCCTATGGCTTGGTTTTTCGTCAAGATAACCTCAAATATAGTCAGAGCTTTGGGTATAGATCTTCGGCATTCACTCCTGTCATGTTACTTCAACGTGTGTATATATGTCAAGTGAATTTCTGTTAAACGTTCTCCATATAGAAGTATGGTAAAATCTTATTAGATGTCCTACATGATAGAAAATTTAACTCTGTCACACATTTTGATTAACAATTTTATCTATACTGTACTCTGATACATTCAGCCTAGTTCACTTCAAAGCTGATTTATACAGTGCATACAGTGTTGGTAATATTAATATATAAATAGGACGAAAACCATCACAGTATCTAAAATACTACACTGATAAAGCCAAAATTGATTTCATACCTTTGGTTCTCTTGATAAATTTCGATAGAGAAAGAAAGACCCCCTTTTTTTCTTTTTTCATAGTTTGACAGTATATAAATTGATGGTAACTTAAACTAAAAATTATAATACTTATATTCCAGATGTGTTCACCTTATAATGTTTTCTCTATTAGCATTCAAACAATGAAGTATGAAATGTTATTATTTATAACCACTGTATTTTCAGGTAGTTTGCAGCTGATGAGAACCTGTGAAATAGAATGATATCATTTTATACTGCAAATCTGGTCTTTCTTTCTCTATCAAAAATGATTACCTTACGAGTTCGCAATTTTTTAGGCCTAATGATTCATTGAAAAAGTATATCATCAAAGGGTGGATGTGACCATAGGCACGTATCAATCAATTCAGTTTCGTAAAATTAACTTCGGTAAATTTCAATGTGAAAGCATAAACCAAATATACACTAACTACATCTCTACATTCGTTTCGATTAGATACGTTCACTGATAAATCCAAGTCTTGTTTTGTTTCTAGAGTGCAACTGCACTAAAATCATCCACCTGAGCTATGAGTTTTGATCATTTCTATACGATACAACCTGAATGGTTAACCAGCTTTGCTTTGTATCTGAATCGCTAAAAACAGAAATAATAATTAAAATATGTTCAAAAAGAACAGCGGTATTTATTAACTGCTGAATCAACCTTTTTTACGGAAGAGTATATGATGAGCCGCACTTTTGAAACTAAATCAGGTGGAATCAATGCACCTGTGACAACAACCTAAATTATACAGAACAACTCTGAAAATGGAGAACTGTACCATACAGAGTAATCCGGCTAACTGTTATGATGCTTGCTTCTGTTTTGCAGTCTAAACTTAACTGATTATTCAGTATCTTGAAATAGTATGGCACTCTGTCAACAACAAAAAGCCTTGTTAACTTCTTTGTGATAACTTGTATGCATACAGATACCAAGAGGAGTTGTTTATTATTTCTGTATATGTCTTCTCTAATGTTTATATCTAATAGCATAGTGTTGGCATTCAATAAAAATATAATTCGGCTGATAAACCCTGAACAGGTAGAACAATACCATTCAGCTAGTTAAACTGTAAGGGATTACAGCAATATAAATATCCTGTAAAATTTGATTCAATAGTCAAATCAACTAACACCAGTTTAATTGGAGTGCTCTGTCGAAATAATTTGTGCAATACACTGTAAATTTATACTTTTATGATGCATCAAACATTATAAATACTGACGATGAACTCCAAACTAGGACGAAACAGCTGCCCAGTACTCTTTGGTTTTCAATGCTTCTCTAACTGATATTAATCCATGATCAAACGTGAAACAAAAAAAATAAATAAGTAAGTAAAGATATCTGACTGATTTTCATATACGGCTTCAATTCTTGGATGACAGTCGAAAAAAAATATCAGATTATGATACCGGATTTAGGTATTTCTTAAAAATATGTTATTTATGTCATTCCTTTTTATTATGGCGTGAGGTTTGGCCTATATTCATAGAAAAGTTTGAGATAATTAGGTGTACTAATCAAGTGGATATAAATTAGGTCATTTCAGGTTACTTAACACACAGTAAACAAACATTATAAGATTAAAGAAGATGCAACAGTATGCAGAATTAAAAAGAATTTGTAATAAATTTCACAAGATGTACAGAAATTAACCTCGACATTCAAAGCCTACATATCCTAGTTGCTATATATCTTTAGAATGATTATTTGGATAAATCTTACTTTTTTATGTACCTGAGTAGATGCTTTATGCGCAGAAAATAAAATCACCAATCAATAGTGAGAACAGAATTCGCTAATATCTGGCAATCGCCTGAACTTCTAGTGAGAATTTGTGACCAGTACAGTCTAAATACTCACCGATGGCATTGTATGATTGTCACGCTAAAATCACTAACTGGCAGAAGTTGACCATTGAATCAGGTCCCAGTGACTGAATGGTCTTAGGTCTAAACCCCTGTGAGTGAGCACCGATGAAGAGTCCCAAGCTACGATGAAACAACTATCCAGTACTGCTTGGTTTTCAATGGTTCCTTAACTGATGTCAATCCATGATCAAACTTGAAACGTATCAGAATTCTCCATGAATTTATAAGTGGATTACAATAACCAGTGGATCAATAATCATGAGAAGTCTATGCTTATAAGAAAATCAAGAGAGATATTTTTCCTCAGGTAAGACCACAGGAGCTTACAAAATCCTTCAAACTAAGCTCTTAAAGATAAGAATGAGAACCGTATACGAAGAGGTTGCAATAATCCTTCAGGAAAAAAAGTCTTCTCTTAATCGAAGCACAAAGAGTGTTAGTAGTGTCTGTATTCTATAAAAGTTTAGATTGTTGTCGGTAGTTCAGCTCAGTTTCCAAACGCGTGTTGGCTGATGGTTCATAATTAAAGGACCTATGTTCTCACGCTATGAGACTGGGTGAAGATGCTAAAATTAAAGTCTAAACAATGTAGGAGTAGAACATATATATATAATATTAATAACCGGATGACGATTATGAGCTCAATTTGGCTCTCATATTCATACTAATGTGAATGAAACTGAGCAATAAATTGTGCGCGAAACGTAATCTAGTTATTAATTGTGCATCACTGTGTCTTTCTAAATAAACCCATTTGATACAGTTGTAAACAGCTTCATCTGGGACATCAGACACTAAGTCACATCGTTAAAGTGTGATTCTCTGCAGAGGAGTTATTCATATGACTATGGTATAATTGAAATCAATATCGTGGTTATAATTTTACTGGGACTAAATCAATTCGAAATCAGGCTTATTATTGTGCTAAAAAACTCCCCGAGTTGGAACGATTGACTATCGATTAAGATATAGCGGGTATTGAATAGGAATACACGAACGTTATTCCACCTAAGATTCTACTAACCTACTGAGTTAAGCTAACGTCATCTTAGAAGTTTTATTTTGTAAAAGGTCAAAGGAATTTAAGAGATCTCTACAGTTCATCTTCAACTATTAATTGGTGTATCTCCACTGATGAAGATGAAAAAAGACATCGATTAACTGATTGTTGGAAAGAATCACCGCGTGGTATCTGTGCTGTATTGAGTTGGTTTATTATGAATTTGCAGTACTCCTTTATCTGAATACACCACAGAAAAAATACGGATATCATACTTCTCCTTTTATTAGTTAGGTGGTGTTAACAATCCCCGATTCTTGGGATGGTCAGGCTGAGTCAACTAGTTGTGTGGTTAGAGTACAGGTCTCTCAGGATAGATGATTACTTAACAATCTTTTCCCTTATTGTATTACATCTGTTGTAATCAGATATACCCATATGACTGGCATGAACAGTGAACTGTCTTCCGACCACGTTATTAGACCGATCTTCCAGGCTTCTTTTAAAAATTACCGAAACTTGTTTGGTTACTGCTATTCAAGGGAAAACACTGAGGCTAAATGAAATTCGCTTAGAATTAATTTCTTTGACAGAATAACTATCATCCTCATATCTCTAAATAATCCATTCCGTTCCTGCAATATTATTTGATTAAGCTTACAATAAAAAGGAATAAAACCGTTTATTCGGAAAGTTAATTCCATTCTTTATGAAAAGTAACAATGTTATTCACTTTCATTTGCTAAAATGTTAACTTTTTAAATCCTTAACCTACATAAATCATAAATTTCAAAAGTCAATATACTATATTGTTTTAATTAGTAAGAAAGTGTTTGTATACATGAAATTCTCTACGCTTTTAAATTTATGTACATAAAATTTATAAACAAGAAATTAACTGAAATTAATAAGAAGAATCACTTGCATTATGCTGTGTCACTGAATTTGAGCAGCCTCTTTGATTACCAGGATTTTCACTCATCGATAATAAACAGTCTGAAATTTGTTTCGGAGATTTTTGATAGAAGTCTTCATTTGGAGCAAATTCTGCAGATGCTGAGCTGCCATTTTCGTCTGTAGTACTGTTATCATAGCCATCCATTATGGATGGCGACTTTTTATTACACGATGTAACATACAAATTTTCTAACAATTTTTCTTGTTGCTGACATTGTTGTTTGTATGTATTGAAGCTTAGATCAAGTGGTTCGTTTGCATCCATTGTATTAAACATTACAGATACTGGTTGACTAGACTTCATAGAAAGATCTGTTAATGGAAATGATGAGTTATTCAAATATTTGCTATTCATAATTGTCTTTAATCGATCGTTTTGTAATTCATTTTCATTCACAGTAACTTTTTGTTTAAATGTATCATTTGAGGATGATTCTAACGGGGTGGTAAAATCATTCAATGAAGATTTATGAGAGCATGAATTTAAGTTTTCATTAGTATTTATTGGGAATGATGGTTGATAGTTAATTTGTTTGTAAAGTTCAGTCAAGTATAAATTAGCTAATTCTGATAGATTCAACTGCATATTCGAAAAGTTATACGTTAACGATGAAAGATAATTTGTAAATATTTCAGAAAATAATTCTTTATCTGAATTCGATGAATTAGGCGGTGGATTATGTAAACTAAAATTGCCTAGTCCTGAAGTGAACGTAGTCGATACTGGCATGTGTGTACGCATTGCTTCATTGGATGGTGTTGATTCATTATTCCCCATTTCTGGTAATGTTGTATTTAATAACTTTGAATTATTTAATGCAGAAAATTCATTTGAAACTGTCCAGAACAGATCAGGTGAATATATGTTCTATTCAGGAGAAAGAAAATTTATCTAGATTCCAGCTTTATAACTGATTTAAATCGATTACAATAATATGAGCAGATGAACGCATCGGTGTAAATTTGCCACCTCGTTGTTCTAAAACACGCTTAAATTGTCAACTAGTAAAATTCATAATATTACTTTTATTATTTTTGATAGTTGTTACCTCTTCTATTAAAAATTCAAATTTTTACTAGCACAGAAGTGACAGTGTTGAAGTTAGCATCCATTCTTACCTGCTGCACAACAGGTGAGTGTCATGGCTTAGTAGCCTAATGAATAACAGCCTTGGCGCCTGAAACGATGGATATTGAGTCCCGGTCTCAGTGGGGACATCATTCAGTAGGAGAGTCTTAATTGTGATGAAAAGTACATTCCTGACTCTAAAGCTAACCACCACCAACCAGGTAATAAAAAAAGAGTTGTGGTTGTAAATATTTGTAGCTGATCATACAGATGTTTCAATGACCATGCATTGTCTGCTAAAATATGGACAGAACTTCTAAATTATTCATATGGATTAAATCATACCTATCCGTTATGTAATTCTGGTTATATTAACTCGTATCCAACAAATGAATTTCGTCTACATTAATAAATTCCTCTACGAAATATATTTTATACACTGAAGTAGTAGTGTATTCATTTGATAAGAGTTATAATAAGTGTATACAGTAACGTATATTCTAAGTCAACGCTAGAAAAATGAGATGAATCACTAACCTTAGTGTTTAGGTGTAACTGTTCTAAGACAAAAGACAAATTAGAAGTAATCATCTGAAGTTAAAGAAATAAACAGCATGAACTTTAAATAATACCTACCTACCTGATCAATAAAAACTACATAACTCAATGATATATTTAATAGACAGTCCATCGTTGGGTGTTCCAGATAATGAGGTTTTAAGGCAACTACAGAAAAGCTAGTTTGCAATTGCTTTCTATAGAGAATGTTCTCATCTTTTAAGTATTAGGCTAAAACATTATATATATTATATATACATTAGAAAACATTACATCTGAGTGACACTTGATCCTTCACCGAAAGCATTTCTAACAGACAGTAAATTTTCACCAACAGCTGCTTCGATACCGAAGATTAGGTGGCAAGAATGGACAAGCAACAAGGAACTCTGTAATGAACTAAGAACCTACCATTCAATAAATATACCCAATAAAATGGGGATGGATCGAACACACTCTGATAAGACTGTCGAGTTACATGACCTGTCAGGCTCTCGAGTGGAACACAAGTTGGAAACTAAAATTTGTATGTGGGTTCGAGAGGGAAACGGGCATGGGAGCTTATGGGTAATCGTGGAGCCGGATGAAGAGGACTGCAGAGAGTAGGATGAAATAGAGGAGTGCTGTTGAAGCCATGTATTCCACTCGGAACCCAAGGGAATAATAATATTATAAACATGTGAAAAGTTTTAGAGGGTAAACATTTTTCCAGAGGAAAAGATATTACAGTTTAAAAGCCAGTCATCCGTTTCATATACACTAATCAAAGTTCTTTCAGTTTCATCAAAGAAGAACTGTGAACAAACAGATTCTGGGTTTTGTAAGGATTTCTATCAATTTCAACAAATAATTAACAAAGATTAGAGTTCAGGTTTGAGTGAATTTCAGTCAAGTGACTAAGCGGTCAACAAATTCTCCCTGTAACATGAAAGTCTTGTATTCGATTACTGGTAGACTGATTAAAGCGTACTACTAGAGTCCCGAACTCGGACGAAACATCTGTTTCGATCAGTATACACAATTTAGGATTATGGTATTTATCAGAAAGAATCATATGTAACTTTTAGGTCGACAGTGTAGGGGAGAGGCAGTTAGAATCACCGTAGGTGATCCCTTCAGTGGAGATATTTTTTGTTGAACAGGTTAACATGTCAAGCTTTCTTGGGCTTAAGATAATTTAAAGTGTTCTGCAGCCTGTTGTTTGATGGATTCAAGGTAAGCCTAAGAAATAAGCTTTGAGAGTTTTAAGGAATCCACAGTTAGTGGGAGTGTGTCACTCAATATGCGGTAAATCGATAAGCTCTAATAAGGTGATGCATATTTACCAATCTATAATCAACTAGGTATTCAGTTACTTCTTTCAGATAATGATTTAAAACGGAATTAAAGTTATCGAACTATTATTGTAACCTATTTCAAATATCTGTGAATTAATCACACCAACTTAGACCTTGGATTTACACTATAAAAGTCATTTAGCAATAAAGTCTGATATCCAGCTTCCAAGCTCCATAAATTAAGTTGGTTAATCTACGCCAAAATATAAAGTTAATCTGATTTCGGTCAGTCAATAGACATCAAAATAAACATACGCATCAGTACATAGCTACCTTATAGTTCATACAAAAAAGCAATAACAATGCAGATTTCATCTCACACCTGCATCATTTAAAGAATGACAGGAAATCAGAGTCAGCTGTTGCATTCAACTCTGGGACTCTTCTACAGTACGTACATCGCACAGCTCAAGCAAGAAAAAAACCACTATCCAGTACTCACTGATTTCTAATGGTTGTCTAACTTATGCCGGTTTGTGACGCCGTATATCTTCAAGTCAATAGAACTTGTTCAGACCGAGTGCATGAAAATAAACCGATTAACATTTTTTGTGTTATTTTATTATTTATTAGGAGGCTGTCCTGGCTAAATCTAATTGAAATTAAAACATTAGAATAAGTTGTATTAAGAATTAATTATATACCGTTTAAAGTAGGGAAATATCGTACTTAAGTCATTTCTGGTCACTTTATTACACAATGATAAATTGCCTAAAAGTGCATAAACCACTGTTCAACCAAATCAAACGAGCTTAGATGGAAATAAGTTATGCATGTATAATAACCACTAATTACAATTTGCAAAACTCACTTTATCATTGACTAAATTAAACGATGAGTTTGATGTACATGCTTCCATTTGGTCAGCAGACAAATGACACAAAGGCACATCATTATTAATAGTAGAATTATGAAGTTTAGTCATAGAATTTAAACTATCATTCATATTTTGGCTTAATTTACTATTAGTGATGGAATAATCAAGATGTCTACACGAACCAGGAGGTCGTCCACGTTGACCACGTCTTGTTGGCAGGAAAGGATAATTACGCTTACACAATGGGGATGATGAAGTTGTGATAATTGGTGCTGCAGATGATACTGACCAACTGACCAATTTCTTCTCATCATTCAGTAAATTGTAATTCACTTTAGTCATTTTATTGATTTCACGTAATGTTAACAGACCGCAACGCGATTTTTTTGTTTGCTGATATTCTTGCTGAACTATTTCACTATGTCGACTTTTTAAATGATTTAGCATTGTTGTTGTTGTACCAGAATTGTTGAATGCCAACAGACTATCACAAAGAATACACTGTGTATGCGTTAAATCTTTTGTGCCCATATGTAATTCTGGATGGAAAAAATACTTCCATACAAATGATTTCTTAGTGCCAGTACGACTACCCCAATTCCCGGAACGTCGGGTAGAATTACGCCAAAAATTGAATATTGGATTCAGAGTGTTATTGCGTTGACAGTCAGTATTCATGTTCATCTCGGTAGGATTGTTGTTAGTAGTGTTATGACTGCTGCAGGAATCGATACTAGCAGTAGCTTTATTTGAAGGAAGCGAAGCAACTGTAGGAGGAGGAGGAGGAGTAGTAATCGTATTCAAAATATGTTTTTTAGTGTCAGTATCTGCTACTTCTACTTGTGAAGTCAGCGTATCAAGTGTATCGCAGATACTGTAATTTGCTCTATTTCCCTCATTATTGTAGTTGAAATTCATATCTTTCACATAAATCTGTGTTGAGAATACATCACCTATACATTTTTATTCAATTCTTCTTCAATTTCTATTGGATCGGTACTCGAAAATTTTCGAAAATTGTGTGGTAGAGAAATTTCAACCACCGGATAGGTGTAACTTTTCATTTAAAAAATGTTTCTGTTTGGTGAATGAAGGGGAAGGAGTTTAGCGAAACGAATTAATTTCTGTCTACCCCTATTATGTTATTCTGTTAGTGTTATACGTTTGTGATTGGTTAAAATGAATATCGTTGTCAAACTGACCAATCGTCGACAAGATGTAGAGTATAGCATGTAAATGTATTTAAAATTAATTTTCAAGCAAAATATAACCTTATCATGTGATTACAAAGGCTTAGTGTGCTTGTATTAGGAAACATGAAATTTTCAAATCGTGCTAATCATGGAATCTGGTAACCTGAGCCTCTTAAATGGCCACTTCTCATAACCGTTTATTTAAATACTCCATTATGGATAAGATTTTATTTTGATAAATCACTCAGTGTTATACAGTAATATTAAGTGTTCAACACTGTGTGATTTATCAAAATAAAATTTTATCCATAATGGAGTTATGCTCTACCACAGTACCCAAGTTTTATACTTATGTCGATTTAAATAGATTTACTATTGTTTGTATTTCAACCCCATAGGTATCCGTTCAGTCGGAATACAACGACCCACGAATTCTAACTGTTGTCAGCTGGCGATTTTAGTACTGAGATCAGAAAAAGACGATATTAAATTTTCTGAATTCATCATATATCGATCAGTGGCGTATAATACCATCGTGCAATTATACTTGCTCTTTCGATTACCACAATATGTTTACTGCATGTATATTTGGTTTCCAAAAGGAAATCACGATGGATATTCACTTATAATTGTATAATTTGCAAATGAGCAATTTAATTTAATTTTTAGATTTCCCCGTAGACTGACTGGACCGAAGTGCTCGGTCTCAGGTTGACATGTCGGCTTCTTGTACAGATGCTTCGACGATGTTTGGGCATTTAATCAGAATTTAATTTGTGGATGGTGACTAACAGTGGAATCCAGGATGCGCATTTCGTCCTATTCAGTTAAATTAATATGACATATTGCACAAGAGGTGGCTCTGATGCCCAAATGGTCTAGTGGATAACGCTTTGGCATTTGAAACTATGGGCACTGGGTTCGAGTCTCGGTGGGAACATCATCACTCATTGGAGGATGCAGGGACGTGCAGATGGCGAGTCCCAGATAGGACGAAATGTGCATTATCCTGGATTCCACTGCTAGTCACCATCCACAAATTAGAGGAATTTAATTGTATGTATTACTATTTAACTCAAGTAGCTAGCTAGAATTCGGGTCATCTGAAGTGATTCAGTCCCCTAAGCAGAGCCATATTGAGTACAGTGATGATTAGCTCTATCCCAAAAGACAGAAGCAGTTATCCATGTTTTAAATTACTTGGATATGATCAGCCATCACTACTGTCTAACGTGAGTGGTTTCTAATTACCATGTCAGTCGATAGTATACATCACCATAAAGTTTTATTGTTGTTGAAAGAATGACAGTGGCGGCTAACACTGCTGGTTACATCAAAGCTAATAATTTTAATTTTGTTACGATGTAAATCGAAGGTCTTGTCAGCGAACCGATGAACTCGACTGAGCTGAAAGTCAGTCACCAGAAAAGTAGTCGAATTAATGCCCTTTATAATCACCAATAGACTTATCTAGTAACTCGAAGAAATGGTACAAAGATTTTGATTCCTTATAAATTTAAAGGTAATATGAAGCTTACTCCATGAAGCACCAGCTGATTTTTAGGAGTTCGAATCAACTGTACCTATATTTATTTATATTTGATATATTTGATTATAGCTCGATTTCACACCGTTTTTTTTGGTACAAGTATGGAATTTTCAGCATGTGATATCGGTAGCCCAATTTTGCAGGCCGACCACTGATATCAGGTGTGAGTCGGTAGTGGATCGAACCCCGGACCATGTACATGGTCGGCGAGAGTCCTAACCGCTGTGCCACCGACGCACAGATGGAAGTCATTGGATTTATGTGGACAGCTTTCCTGTTTCCTCAAGTGTATGGCGGAGATAAATGAATTGGGAAGTATTTGATAAAGAGAGATAATATAATCCAACCAAGTTTGATTTAACACCACCTGCTCAATAAAAACGACTGTTAGATGATATTTACAAGCAAATACTATAAAGCGTTTGATAAAATACATCGTGATATCAAGAAACTGTGAATCTTTTACTTTGTAACTTGTTGTTTACTTCATTTCATGATATATCCAATGTTTCATCTCCAAGAAACCGTTGAATTTTGTTTCACGAAATCTTTTGAGTTTTAAGAAAAAGTTTGATGTAAATGTCTAGAAAAATATTAATTATATCCTCGTACGCATGTAGGCAGAGATCCATGACGCTACTTGTAATCCCCCTTGCTGGGATGTGCTACTCTTTGAAAACAGATTGCTTAATTACTATATACTTTATTTTACATAACAATATAACTATTTAAGTGTTGGTTTGTAGGGATTTGGTTGGCTACAGGATTTCATCATCAGCTGACATTGGTTAGAGAACCATTGGAAGACCTGGGAGTACTGGACAGACATTTTGTCCTAATTTGGAACTCTTCATCAGTACTCACCCACCAAAGTTCGAACCCAGGACCTTCTGATTACAAGGCGAGCTCGACGAGGTGCTCACTAGAGACTTGCCTTATTCAAGTAGGTAGTTACCTGGGTTTCTAGTGAGAAGTCGTGACCAGTAGGGTGCAGCCGGTTGGGTGTAAAGACAAATACTTGCCGGAAATATTGGCTAGGGGTCGCGCTATGTCGTGAATTGGCAGAGGTTAGAATTCATGGACTGACCATTAGATCGGGTCCCAGTGGATTAATAGTATACGAGCTCGCCTTGTAACCAGTAGGTCCTGGGTCCGAACCCCGTGATGTGGGTGCGTACCGATGAAGAGTCCCAAACTAGGTCGAAGCATCGGTTCAGTACTCCCAGGTCTTCCAATGGTTTTCTAACCAATGTCAGCTCATGAGGAAATATTACTATTATTTCATAGACTTTGACCCATGAAAAAATTTATCAAGGAATTCAAACTCTTTATTTCAATATGAAACGACAAATACTGGTTTCTCTGAATATATAAATATATATATATGATTTTCACATGAAATTGTTAAAAGCCAAAATCAAGTATTAAAAGTTGGATTAATTTTAAGGTGTTATCAATGAGTATTCTGATTAGAGTTTCAAAGATGAATGTCTCCATTTTAAGCTTAGAACAGAAACCGACCACTGCTCAGCACTTCCTGGTTTCCACAGACTGATCAACTGATATTAGAGCAAATAACGGAAACCGTTTCTTGAATGATGGTAAGTCCTCCTTTTTTCTTAACCTTTAATCGCCCATATTCATAAAACAGGAATCAGTCATAGTTTAACACTTTAGAGTAAATCTTCATGACCTCAGGAAATGAAGATGTTTCTGTTCTATTGCAATCGGGACACTGGGAAAGATAATAAAAATAAATAAACTACAACAACTCCTTTAAAAAAAGATGATAATGAGACCAGTATAAGAGCAATTCAAATCGCACCAAATATTTCCGGTTTATATGGTAATCACTCAAGTAAATTCGTACGATTTCGTATGAGGTATATGGGTAGCAGGAATAAGCCATACACTTTTCATTCTTTAAGGTCAATCCATACTACTATTCTTTTGTTGTTAAAAAATAACTGACAGCAGGGAATGCGTAAAACAGGAATTGTAAAAGCGAAAAGAGAGGGACCATTTGGAAAGGAATAAACTAAAATAAGTAAATAATACTGCGCATTACCTGTTTTTATCCCAAAAATCATAGATTACATTTCACCACTAGTCACAAGCAACCGGAAGAAAGTGGAGGAGAATTGTCTCACTCAGTAACATGGATGTGTAACTTTTGAAATCTATGTATCATTATGAGCGAAACCACGTTATTATTATTGCAGAAGGACTGGAAAATTCCCCCTGAACGATCGAATTACAATACCTAAACTTTTCTGGACGTTTCAACTAACTTTGCCATTATTATTATTATTATTATTATCCGATTTTCTCCTAGACTGTATATCATTACTCTGACAGATAAATATATTACACATTTGATTTGATCTATACAGTTTTGTCTTTCCCTCTCTTTAATCTCTAATTTTAATGTCTCTGCTTGGGGTTTGTGTGTACATTGATAATGTGTTGTACAGTGTGCTTTTGTTTGAGTGAATCAAGGTCCCTCTGACCTTGAACTGTCTGAGGAAAGCGTTGGTGTGTGATTCTTGTGCACAGAACTTTTGATCCCGCCTTTTGGGAATATTCCACTTCATTCTAAGGTGCTTCTTACAGCTGAACTTCGGTTAACTAATTTTGTCCTACAGTACTTGTTTTATACCTAAAAAGTCTGTCTGTATAGCTGCTTAACAGATCTATTGAGGTTATTGGTGCTGTTTTTATTGGTGTATAGAACCACAGATTTATCGGAGAATAATCCTCTTTTTGCTGTGATTCCAGCGTTTGTGATAGTGTGTCTCTCAAGGAAGTTTCAGACAGCTATACAGTAGAACGCAAAGTTCGGTTCCCTCCATTCAGATAACAACGAGTCAGTTTTGGTCACTATAGCTATTTTCGTTATTATTACTATTATTCACCTTGGTATTCCGAATGAAAAATAGGGCTTCATAGGAACGTCTTTATCTCACTCGGCTTCTTGATATCACCTTCAGCTGGCCCCATGACTCATTTCCTTTTCATATTATCCCTTCTATGTCATACACAGAATTATGACCAACCCGTCATGTAATTTGCAGTAACTATAGCAGTTCAAGTTGCCACAATTTAAAAAAGCACACATAAAAGTAGAGAAAATAAATGTAGTAAGATTACAATGGACATAAACATACAGTAGAAAGAATAGATGAGTAAGGATTACCGAGGACTTTGAGAGTATTAACCACACTAAGAGGTTAATACATCCGTAGTGTTGAGAGCGCAATACATGCCGTACTAATCTCAATCGACACAGTTAACAGCCTTATCGATTGCCTTACAATCATTACCTAACACTGTACGCCTAACCTC